GGAGAGGAAGGCCCTCTATGAGGTGGACTGATTCAGTGACTGGGATAATTGGGATGGGAGTGTCGGAGACAGTGTGATTGGCACAGGACAGAGCGAAGTTTAGGGCTGCTGTACATAGGGTCGCTATGAGTCGCAAGCGACTCGACAACACATAACAACAACAAGGTGAGATAGAGTCTGGTCACCCTGACTTTTGAGGAATACTCTCTGGCTGTTCTTGCTCTGGGACAGATTTGGCTGTTTCTCTGGCAGTTCACGGTGTATTTAACATTCATCACCAATACCGTAACTCAAAGGCACAAATTCTTCGGTCTTCCTTATTAATTCACTGTCCAGCTTTCCCAGGCATACGAGTCAATGGAAAATGTCAAGGGGCACCTTAGCCCTCAAAGTGACACTTCTGATCTTTAGCACTGGAAAGAGGCCATTTGCAGCTGACTTGCCCCATGTAAAATGTTCTTGGACGTCTCGACTGCTAATTCCATGGAGACTGACTATGAACCCAAGTAAAACAAAACCACTGACAATGTCAACCTTTTCTCCATTTATTATAATGCTGTTTCTTGGCCCACCTGTGAGGACTGTAAAAATTTTTATGTTGAGACACTGTACTGAAGGCTCAATGGGGTCTTTGAGCTTTATAAGTAAGTGCTTCAGGTAACTAGTAAAGCTGTCTCATCTACACATTGCAAGTTACTGGGGAACCTTCCTCCAACCCTGATGCCACCTTCTTCTTCATACAGTGCAACGTCTTAGATTATGAGCTTGACAAATAACTGAACAGGTATGAACAGGTATGGTGAAATGACACAACCACAAAGTACACTTTTGGCTGATACAACCAGGCAGAATCTCCCTGTTGTGTTTAAACAACTGCTTCTAGGCATATGTACAGGTTCCCTGTGAGCATAATTACGCTTTCTGAAACTTCTATTCTCTGTAGCGTGATAGAGAAGTTGAAATGACCTACATTTCTGTATTACCTTTGACTTTGCATAAAGGAGCTCTGGTGGCCTACCAGTAAGAAGCTGTGCTGCAATTCCAAAAGCAAGTGGTTCAACTCCACCAGCTTCTCTGCAGGAGCGTGATTTACTGCCTTTAAAAACATGCTGGAGGGTCAGCAATGGGTCAGTTCCAACTCAACAGTACACACAAACTACATTTACATAGGTTATACAAAAGACCTCACTGCTGAGTCGGAACCGACCCATACCTGATGCTCCAGCAGGTTTTCAGAGGCTGTAAATCACACAGGAGGAGACTGCCTGTCTGTCTCCTGCGGAGCAGCTGGTGGATTCGAACCACCTGCTTTTGGGGTTGACAATGTAAAAGCCCGTAGGCTACTTGAATTCCCTATAAAGTTAATGCAGGGAAACATTTGTTGTTGGTTTTGTTTGTTTTTCTGGTATTATCTGCTTTCAGTCAATATCCATCTGACAGAAAACATTCCGAAATTAAAGCTACATTCGAAAGAGGACATGGACCAAATGTTGTCATTACTGTTTTCTGTCAATGACCTGCTTTTGAATCAGCATTATTTTACTGGAGGGTGATGATGATGATGATAATAATAATAATTTCTACAGCTTTTCAGATCATTTTTCTTTGGAATGGTCATAAAGGTTCATCTCTTCCGGTCAGGTAGCCGTCTCCCACATTTCTTGCACAGACGAATAAGCACGCCCATCACTGGATCTACTCTCTTGATATTCCAACTGGTCGAGCCCTGTTTTTCACCAATGCCTTCAGTGGAGCTTGGACTTCTTCCTTCAATGCCATTAACTCTCAGTCACAGGCTACCTCCTGAGACGTATGAACATCGACCAACTCTTTTTATACAGTGACCCTGATTATTCCTTCCATCATCCCTTAATACTTATTTCATTATTATTCACTATCTTGCTTATAAGATTGTCACCATTATTTGAGGTTACAAATTGAGGCTTGATTTCCTCCCCTTCAGTTCTTCATGCTTGAGAAATATAGAGCATTCTTACTCCCTTTTTGTTTTCTATCTCCAAATCTTTGCACGTTTCATGATAATACCTTTATGTTCGTGAGCTGCCGTTTGAAATCTATTCAGCTCTTTTACTTTATGATTGTCTCCATTGGTTTTAGCTTCTCTTCATTCTAACTCTCAGAGTATCTTCTGACATCCATTTTAACAGTTTCTGTCTTTTAAATGATATTTTGTTCTTGGGAAAGCACATGATAAATAAAGATCAATGAACATTACCGCCTAGAAAGCCCTATGGGGTGGTCTTCCCCTGTCATACAGGGTCCCTATGATTTGGAACTGACTAGATGGCACCTAACAACAAAAATGAAATTAAAGCCTGGCAGATGGAAGCAATAGATCCATCAGTTCTTTGCACTGTGGTGCTGGGAGAAGATGCAGACAGACTGCTCCTCAGAGGCAAAGATGATAAAACTCCATCTCACGTACTTTGGACACGTTGCTGGGAGAGGTTCTTCCTTGGAGAAGGACCTCATGCTTGGAAAGGTGGAGGGTCAGTGAAGGAGAGGACGGCCCTCGACCAGACAGACTGACACAGTGGACTGCAGTAGTGGGTTTACGTCTCAGAGATGATGAGGAAGGCACAGAACAGGACAGGGTTCAGATCTGTTGTTCACAGCGTTGCCCTGAGTCATGCTTAACTCAGTAACACCTAACAACAACATAAGTGCCAAGGGAGAAAGGCCTGGCAACTTTACGTTCTGTAAAGATTATCGTCATGAAAACCCGATGGGGCAAGTCTACTCTCTAACATCCTGTACCGGAGGAGACTCAAAAGCAATGGGTTCTGTGAGACGCATCTAAGACGCTGGCAGCTGAGAGGCGGGAGTGGGAGCCCCTGGAGTGGGAGGGGGAGCCCTGGGCTGAGCGAGTGGGGAGCCGAGAGTCTGGCATTCGGGGACACAGGCAGGCTGACTTCAGTCCTGAAGAGGATCATTTTGTCTCTGTCTCGTGACTCACCCACATAATTATGCCCTCGGGGAAAAAAAACAATAAAGACACGAATAGCAAGTCTGAGAGAGATGCCAAGAATTAGATAAGAAAAATGTGATTATTGCCCCGCTGACTGACAGACGCAAAAAGGATTCCCGCTGTTTGCTCTTTTCATCTCAGGAGGGGGAGGTCACTGAGAAGAACCAAGGTCTATTTTTTTACACACACACACACACACACACACACACACACACACACACAACACACACACCCCTCTCTCTCTCTCTCTGCCCCCCAAAACAAACCAAAACCCAAAACCCCACAACCAGAAAATCATAATCAGTTGGGGATAAATTAGATGTGTGGAACCTTCTAAAAATTAAATCCTATGTGATTAACTGCCTCTGAAAACCCACTGAACAGTCAGCTATGGGTCGGTTCAAACTTAATGGTACACAACAAAAACAACAACAACATGTGCTACAAAAGAGTTTTCCAAAAGGGTAAATAGAGCACCTACAGAATGAGGGGGGAGGGAATTGGCCATGGCATAACTGACAACTGGCTTCTTTCTAAAACATATTTAAGGGGGAGCTCTGGTGGCCTAGTGGCAAAAAGCTGAGCTGCAACCCTGAAGGCATGTGGTTCAGATCCAGGCCCAGACGCTCCGCTGGAGAAGGAGGGGAACTCTCCTCCTGTGCCAGTCGGATCTGATTCGACAGTACACAACAAGGAAAAAAAATAAAATGTATTTAAAAAGTCCAGTATTTCAACAAGAAAAAGACAAGCAACCCAATTATAAAATGGGAAGAATTGAAAGCAGGCCTTCCGACTAATTGAGGAATTGTGTTGGCTGCTGACCTGGCTCGGGACTACTGGACTAAACCTGGACTGGTATCGAGAGACGTTCTCTGCCTCTCCCACTCCCCAGCCTATTTCCCCTGATAAATCTCACTCTTCGTACCACAAGTGTGAATAAAGTCTGTGAATCAACAATGAAGAAACAAACCTCTTGCTGCTGGTGAGAGGGAGGAAGGAAGGAAGGAAGGAAGGAAGGAAGGAAGGAAGGAAGGAAGGAAGGAAGGAAGGAAGGAAGGAAGGAAGGAAGGAAGGAAGGAAGGAAGAGAAGAGAAGAACAGAACCGAGGTGACGGCCTTCTGTCCTGGGTGTAAGATATTCACTATCATGGTGCTATGGGTGGGTTTGTCCCCCTTTCCCTGCTGCATATGCATTCAAGTTGCAATTCAAATGCAAACAGCTCGTATCAAGAAATACTGAGACAATCACCATGAAGATGAACTGACTGCCTGCCAAAAGGGTCCCTCCAAACCGGGAAAGCCCTCCCGCGTACCTTAATGCCTTTCGTGTCCTCTTCATCGAACGAGCCAATATCGAAGGCATCGGCGGCGTTGACTTCTCCTCGTGGGGGGATCAGGGGTGGCGGGTACTGGAAGACCCAGAAAGTACGGGACAGTTACCCCAGCTGTCCCTTAGAGCCCCGTCCCAAGCTAACGTGCTATAAAAGAACACAGAGCACGTATCAACACACCCCGTTCTGCACAGCGCCTCCTCCACGCTCCCCACACCTCACATCACCCACCTCCAGGAGTAGCGTCTGTGCCCAACGGGCCTCAAAGGAAGACCCCACATTTCAGGAAAATGTGAGGGGAAAACAGAGTCTAATATCCAAACATCTTTTTCTTTTTTTTTAAATTTTATACTGATTTACTTACAAGCATCCAAATATCTTAAATAACTTTCATATGAAGGAGGCCCCACGATTGTACATGCTTGTGGCTCAACCTTTGAGAGGCAGGCCAAATTCCTTTTTCAATTTCCTGATTTTTCTGTGTGTTTGTACAATAGTGAGTCCTTTAGACACTTATTCACAACAAATTGTGTTCTAACTTCTGCGCCGGGTCACCACCACATTTTGAAAGCACGTATTTTGTCAGTTTATGAAAATTAAATTCTTTTTGCCACAATCAGGACAATATGAGTTAACATGTAAAATTTAGAAATATAATGGATTTTTTTTCTTATACATATTATCCTCTGGTGTTAAAAAATAAAAAAGAAGCTGGTTATTCAGATGATTCTAGAACCACAGGCTCAAAATGGGCTGAGTGGAGTACCCCTCAGCCCAGCAGACACCCCAAAGCTGAAGCTACTGAGGCAAAGTTGCAGATGGGAGGCAGGCCTAACAGGCAGGCTTTCTCTTTCCTACCAAAACATCCTCATTCCTTAACAGCTTGGGTTGAGGCAAAAATGATTCCAAAGCTGATAGACCCATATTTCAATCAAATTGACCTGTGGTCTTCTCCTCTCTCAACCAGAATATGGAAAAAAAAAATCATCAAACAAAGAAAGGGAATCATGCAAATGGAAAAATCATGCAAATGATCACATTCAATGTGGTCTGGGCTAGAAAATATCAGTGGATGACAAAGGGCTATTAACCTTTTCAGTTAGATCTACCGCAAACACAGCCACAGAGAACAGAATTTAAGAGAATTAGTTAAACATGGAAAGAGGTTCTACTGCACAGATATTTTAATTAGCTGCATAGCAGCTCCGTGTCCCCATGCACTGATTTATAGAGGAGATATTATCCAAAATATCTCTTATCAGGGAAAGAAAGGGGCCTCCTGGAAGACGCACGCACACGGGGGCTCCCGGGCAGCGGGGGCTCTTGGGGACAGAGCACCAAGAAGTGGGCAGCGCAGACTCCAGGTGGAGGGGACACGGCGGCCGAGGGCGCCCCGGATGAGTACCTTTTGTAAGTAGACATGCTGCCAGTCAACGCCTTGGAAAAAGCAGTGCTCTTTTACTTCCTGTGCTCTGTAGACAGAGAGAAACAGGCCTGCCAGTGGCGGGAATGCGTTTGAAAACAGAAGAAATACTTTGCAAAGGCTGCCTCCATTACGGTGCTGTTGTTCGGCACCATCACCTCAGAACTGACCCGTAGCTGACCCTCCAGCAAGCTTTCAGAGGGAGGAGACAGCCCATCTTTCTCCCGTGGAGAAGCTGCTGGATTCGAACTGAGTGCCTTCAGGTTGGCCGTGCAGCTCCTTACCACTTGGCCACCAGAGCTCCCGCCTGCATCAAGGACACTGGAGAACTGCATCCCATCCCATTAGGAAGTCAGTCCTGACCTGTAACAATCTTACAGGACCGAGTGGGGCTGCCCCAGGGGGTTCTGGGGCTGTGCATTTGTAATGCAAGCGCTCTGCCCAGGGACCAGCTGGTGGATTCGAACAATGGATCTTTTAGTGAGCAGCTGAGCACCAGGACCACTACACCAGCAGATCTTTTTTGAGATGTAGGAACCCAGAGAGTTTACCTACCACATCCTCTCTCTAAGGGAGTTGCATGAGAACATTTTCCAGCAAAAAAGAGAAGACTAAGAGAGTCGAACGTCTGGGAGAGAGGAAAAGGCTGACTGGATTTTATTGTAAGAACCATCTTCCCTCTGTAACGTGATTTGTGCAACTATTAGAGCCTCTACTTGGAATATTATTGCTTTTTAATTTTTGACTCATGTACTTTTAACTTGTTAAATTTGTGTCTTCTAGGCTGCAACACTTCCATGATACATCTTCAAGGATATAAACATGTACGGCTAAGCACAATTGATAACAGTGCATCTAAATTCCAAAATCAATCTCCATAATAGTCTATGTGCTTCCTACTGTCAAAGGGGCCCTTTAGAGTAGTGAGAGAAGATCTTCACCCTGAAACCCACAGTGTCCCTTTTCAGCAGGAAGTAGCTAAGAGAATACGCCATCCCCTTTTCCTTATGAATCAGGGTGAAGTCTCTCTCAGGGAGGAGTGATAGGGAATGGCAAAGGACACACTGACAAAGGAGATTAATCAGAACTGGCTTTGACAAGCACTGTGGCAATTGGACAATTAAAACAGACATTCGGGGTGGGGGGGGAAAGAAGAACGAACTGGAGAGGAGGGTAGAGAAAACAGTGCAACAATGAATGAATGAGAACCCAAAATCTCTGTAAATGTTCATTAAATCGAATAAAATTTAATAATAATTAAAAAAGAAGAAGAAGAAGAAGAAAGGCTGACTGGAGCCAGGAGAGGAGAAAGGGAGAGTAGCGGATGGTATGATGCTGATTTTCAGGAAAAGACAGCTAAATTCTCATGGGAGCAGGGTAGAGCCAGTCCCGATGACAGCTCAGGGCAAAAGAATCCCCAAAGCTCAAGGTTGTGACAGATTCTCTGAAGGTGTGTATAGAATGATACAACAAACAAAAGGGTCTTCTATGCAGAGTGTCTGACGAACGTGAGCATTCCAGGTGCCACACACATACACACGCGTCCCCACTGGCGACTTCTGAAAGCAGCATTTGCATAAAGCACAGAGAATGACGGGGGGATGCTGAGCGGAGAGCACAAGCTGTCCCAGGACAACGTGCAAGACTGCAGACTCGGCTGGGGAGAAGGAAAAGCTGAAAGCACAGTCGAGGCTACACAACGCCTCCGTTTATAAAGGGGAAGGCAGGGAGAGGTGGTGCTGGTGGGACAAGGCCCAACGGGGAAGTCTAAGAAGAAGGCAGAAGAGGAGAGGAGCTGGGGTTCTTATTCTTTTGAGAAGAGTAGTGAACCCTGGTGATACAATGCTCAAACACTCAGCTGTAAACCAGAAGGTTAGTGGTTCGAACCGACCAGAGGCTTCAGTGAAGAAATATGAGCCTGATTCTGTACACATTCTAGGCTTGAAAACCCTCTGGGGCCACTCTGCTCTGTCCTATGGGGTAACCATACATCGTAATGAGCTCAACAGCAACGCACTTGGTGCTTCTTTGTTTTTTTATAGAATTACACAGGGTGCGCCTGATTCAGGGAATGGTCTTTTCAGTCCCTTGCTGTGGACAATGACTACGGATGAGAGAAGAAGAGCTGATGCCTTTGAACCGTGATGCTGGCGGAGGACGGATGTGTTTTGGAGAAGGTGCAGCCCGAGTGCTCTTTGGACGCAAAGATGATGAATACATCTCAGATACCCTGGGCATGTTGCTGGGAGAAGCTATTCCTTGGAGAGAGACCTCCTGCTCAGGAAGGTGGACGGGTGGCAGGAGAGAGGAAGACTCTCAACCAGGTGCGTTAACACTGTGACTGCGGCTTGAGTGTGTCAGAGATTGAGAGGATGGCATGGGGCAGGACAGGATTCTGTCGTTCATAGGCTCGCTATAAGTCATACTCGACGGCACCTAACAAGATTTCCACTTATTATCATGCTTGGGAGGGTGGAGGGACAGCGCAGGAGGGGAAGGCCCTCTATGAGGTGGATTGATTCAGTGACTGGGATAATCAGAATGGGTGTGTCAGAGACAGTGCGACTGGCACAGGATAGGCAGAGTTTAGGGCTGTTGTACATAGGGTCGCTATGAGTCACAAGCGACTCGACGGCACATAACAACAACAACAACATATCAGAAACTGTTTATTTCTCAAATTGATAAAGAAATGTCCATAAAAGCAAATCATTTAGGTGTCTATACACAGGGGCCCTGGCGATGTAATAGGTTAAGTTTGGGGCTGCTGATAAAAAAAATGGGCCGTGTGGGCTTGATGATAAGGAGTCACAATCCTAACCTGAAGGAACGTGGTTCGAATCCACCAGCTGCTCTGAAAGAGTAAGACGGTCAGTCTCCAGTGGGGTGGGCTCCACGGGAGAAGGACGAGGTAGCCTGTTCTCGGAGCCTCTGAGTCCTGACGGAGGGCGGCCAGGAGGCAGAACTGACTGACGGCAGTGAGTTCAGATTTCTACAGTTTATGATAAACACGTAACTTAGTAGCTAATAAACACAGGGAGTCGTCGGTGGCCTTGTGATAAGGAGGTGAAAGAGGTGAAAGCCTTTATCAAAGGCATGTGGTTCAAATCCACCAGCTGCCCTGTGGGAGAAAGATGGGCAGTCTCCTCCCATTTTGCTACGTCTGGAGAACCTGCTGGAGGGGGAGCCAGGAATCAGTTCCATCTCTGTGGCACACAACAACAACAACATCAATAGCAATAATAAATATGTAACGGTGTGAATCCACATGTAATCGTGTGAATCCACCACTGGCCACGATGGAGAGAGAGCCGGCCAGGCGGTCTCCCCACCGTGATTCACGGCCTCAGAAAACCCGTCGGAGGGTCACTGTGAGTCGCCACTGACGCGTCAGCAGTGAGTCTGCTGTATCACACTCACGATTACACCCGGCTCTGAAAGACGCACGTAAGTGCACACACACCTGTGCCCATCTGCGCACACAGGTACCTCCCTCACCTTCACACACATGAACGGTCACACCGTCTGCCATTAGGCCAATGTGGACACATGGCAACCTCGTGTGGGTCAGCGCAGAACTGGGTGCCAGCGAGTTTTCAGTGGCTGCCCTTTCAGAAGTGACTGCCGGGCTTTTCTTCAGAAGTGCCTATGTGTGAACTTGACCTGTCAACCTTTGGGTCAGCATCGCAGGACTTAGCCATCTGCAGCACCCAGGGTCTCCACGTCTCTATAATGGAGCGTGAAAAGCACTTTCTAATAAGAAGTAAGCCTGGGGCAGGAAGAAGAGGAAGCCTGGGGTAGGAGGAAGGAGGGGGAAGCCTGTTACAAGCCCGCCTAAGTTTTCTGAGCTGTTACTGGGGCTTGGCCTTTGTTGTTGTTGTGGGGGACCGTTGACTTGACTGAGACTCAACTCAGCCCTGCGTGACAGAGCAGAATCACCCCACAGGGCTCCCCAGAGTGCAGACCACCAGGTCTTCTCTCCAGCGGCTCTCTGGATGGGTCGGAAAGCAAGACCTTCCAGTAAGTGGTGAGCGCTTAACCACTGTGCCACCAGGGATTCTCAACCAGGACATTTAGTTGTCAAGAATATCACAGATGTAATCGTGTCTAAAATGTAACCGAAGGGACTAGGAAATACTAGAATTCAGCTCCTTCATTTGCAATGCAGATTTTGAAAAGCTAGGAACTTTTCAAACTTTTTCAACTTGTTAACGACTAGGGAGGATAGAAGGAGCACTGATGCCTTTGAGCTGTGGTGCTGGAGAAGAATACTGAATATACTATGGATGGCTAGGAGAACAAACAGGTTCATCTTTGAGAGGGTGAAACCAGGCTGCTCCTTGGAGGCAAGGATTCTGAAGGCTTCGTCTGACATACTTTGGACATGTTGCAAGGAGAGACAGGTCCTTGGAGAGGGACATCATGCTTGGGAGGGTGGAGGGACAGTGCAGGAGAGGAAGGCCCTCTATGAGATGGACTGATTCAGTGACTGGGATAATTGGGATGGGAGTGTCGGAGACAGTGCGATTGGCACAGCACAGAGCAGGGCACATAACAACAATTACAAAACGCAGAGTTGTTGTTATGCACCACTGAGATGGAAGACACTCACAGCTGGGTTTTCAGAGGCAGTAAAATCACATGGGAGGAGCTTGCCCATCTTTCCCTTTCAGAGCGGGTGGATTCGAACCATGTTCCTTTGGGTTAGGAAGGTGACTCCTTATCATCAGGCCCCCAGGTGTTGTGTACCGTTGAGTCGGAACTGACCCATAGCTGACCCTCTGGCGAGTTTTCAGAGGCCGTTAATCACACAGGTGGTCAGGGCAACGTAAATACATATTCCTATGTGATGTGGAGTGCTTTGTTTTCATTCAAATAAAAACTGTGATTCCTAAGAACTAAGCAAGAATTTGTGCTGTGTTCCTCCTGCGTGTCCTTACTGGCCCTCCGGCATGTTTTCAGAGATGGTAAATGGCAACAGGCAGTGTCAGGATGTATGGAGAGGAGACTGAAATTGTCAATAGCTTCATCTTACTTGGCTTCACAATTAGCCTTAGTACCAGCAGTCAGGAAACAAGGAGACACACTGCACTGGGAAAATCTGCAATGGGGACCTTTCCAAATTATTGAGTAGTGATGTCAGTTTGAAGACTAAGGTGCATCTGATTCAGGCCATAGTCCTTCCAATTACTAGCTATGCATTTGAGACCTGGACAAGGAATATGGATGACAGAAAAAGAATTGATGTCTTTGAGCTGTGATCTTGGACAAGAGCTCTGAACATCCATGGATGGTCAAGAGAATGAATATGTCTTGGAGAGGGTGTAACTGGAGTGCTCTTTGGAAGCAAGAATGATGAGGCTTCACCTCACACACTTTGCATATGTTACTAGGAGGTGCTATACCTTGGAGAGAGACACGATGGTTGGAAGGGCAGACGGTCAGAGGAGAGGAAGACCCTCAACCAGGTGGATTGACACGGTGACTGCTGCAATGGGCTCTTGAGTGTCAGGAAGTGTGAGGATGGCGCAGGCCAGGCCAGATCTTTTTGGTTCAAATCTTTTGTACATAGGGTTGCTATGAGTTGTACTTGACTACCAACAACAACAACAACAATAACAATAACAAATTGCATGGAAGGAAACTGCCCATCTTTCTCCCACAGAGTAGCTGGTAGATTCAAACCATGTGCCTCTGGGCTGGCAGTACAGCTTCCTACCCATTAGGCCACCCGAGGTATTGCGGTGGGAGGAAGGAACTGCTCCACTTTCAGGGTACAGGGGAGGCGAGAGGCAGAAGCAAGCACTTACCCGCCTCCGTGGCAGCCGAGTCTTCTGCTGACATCTCTCTGGAGCAAGCCTTCCAAAAGGGACGTTAATTCAGGGGAGAACGTATCCGGAAGTTCCACATTCTGGGGAAAGAGGAGAATCTCAACGACACACGCCTTCACACCCAAGCGCATTTAAGGGCCGCTCCTTAGGTAATTACAGTATTCAGGACTGAAGTAGTTAGGTGCCGTGGGGTCGACTACGACTCTTAGCGGACAATGAATCTTGCCCTTTCCCGTGCCGGCCTCACTGTCTCTGCCATGCCCTTGGCTGCATTCACTGTGTCAGTCCATCTCAGCGAGGCTCTTCCTCTCTTTCTCTGACCCTCCACTTTCCCCCGCCTGGTTTTGTGTTGGTTTTTTTTTTCTTCTTCTCCCAAGGACTGCCTGCACCTGACAGCATGCCCAAAGAACGGTGCATCAAAAATGAATGCTTAGTAAGAAGTTGCACTGTAATCCCAGAGGTATGCGGTTCGAATCCACCAGATGCTCTGCTGGAGAAGGAGGGACAATATCCTTCTGTGCCAGTCAGATCTGATTTGACAGTACATAAAAAAAAAAAAAGAATGCTTATTTTAAATAAAGGTAATCATGGCCCAAATCACTTTCTGAGTCAATCGGCAGGTGGAGGCTCGTATTCTAGTCTTCTAGATCTCTGAAATGTCTCCTTTTCTCTAATTTTCTTCACTTCCTTTTCTCCAGCTCTCTCACACTGTGTGGGAATGAGGCCTGGCTGTTCAAACCATTACCATTCATTTCCCTCCGAGGAATTCTTCTAAGGAGCCACGTCTCCATGTACTTATTTCAAAACGGTCATAACAAGATCAAACAAGGAAATGATTCGATCATTATAATAAGAATAGAATCTTAAATTCCCTTACCACGGTGAGGGTCATTCGGTCTATTTCATGTTTATCTTTGGTTTTATGCTGCCGGAAAGGGCTGTGGCTGTGGGGACAGAGCACATTAAAACATATCACTTAACACATGCTGATACGTGGGTAAGTTTCCACAAGCAAAACTCATGGCACCAGCAGTCAGAGACTCAAAAGGTGAACTGCATCAGAGAAGTCTGCTCTTAGAGATCTCGGCAATGACGTCAGTCTAGAGACTAAGGTGCACCTGATCCAGTCTATGGTCTTCACAATGACTCGCTTTGCATCAGAGAGCTGGGCAACTACTAAGGATGACAGAATTGATGCCTTTGAGCTGTGCTGCTGGAGAAGAGTCTTGAACATACCATGAACTGCCAAGAGAACAAACAGGTCTGTCCTGGAGAGAGTGAGACACGACTAGTATTTTGAAGCTCTGTCTCACACACTTTGGGCATGTGGCCAGGAGGGACCAGTTCTTGGAGGACAGACATCATGCTTGGAAGGGAGCAGAGTCAGCGCAGAAGAGGAAGACCCCGGATGAGATGGACTGACACAGTAACTGGGGTAACAGGGGTTAGTATGTCGGTGAGACAGGCTCAGGGCAGGGCAAGCTTCACAGCTGTTATAACAAGGTCACTATGAGTTGTGGATGACTTGACAGCACATAACAACACCACCATATGTTCTATCATTGTCTGTTTGAGACAACAGAATACAGAAGCCATAAACACTAATTGTGTCCAGAGAGCAGGTGGCGATCAAACATGACGGGTCCTGAAAGAGTCTGATATCTTAATTTGAACTGCCTGCCCCAGTACTAAAATGAAATTGTGGCCCTGAAATGAACTTTTCCAAATTAATTATCTCTAGGAAAAAAGATCTATTAGTTACCATAGATATGAAAATTAAAGTCATTTCCATAAAATGTTACATTCTACATAGAACATGATTCTTCTATATGATCCATGGCTCCATCTGCCTTGAGACCAGAAGCAATAGATGGTGCCCAGGCACCATTCGGATCAGGGCTACAATACTCTGTTAGAATGCGAGAAAAACACGGAACAGAGCTGCAAATTCCTACAAACAAAACAAACCCCCAAACAAGTACATTTACTGATCTGGTTGAAAACAGTTGTTGCTGTGTATGGTAGAGTTAGAATGAACCCTTAGCTGATTCTCCAAAATTACTGTCCTGAGACACCCTTCAAACTGTGAACACAAGTAAATCTCTGATGTTGGGTCACTTTGAAAGCAAGTTAAGAGATGGCTCACAAAGTAACAATTACCACTTGTAAGCCATCTGCACCTCTACGAAACCACCTCCACGAGACCAAACAGTCAACAGTGACTTTAAAAGATAGATGAGACTGTGAGGGGCCAGGGAAACTAGAGTAAGGAAAACAGAATAACCAGAACGGAAATAATGAGAGTGCTCAAACATGGTGAATAACGTTACAGAACAATCCGGGTAGAAATCATTGAATGGAAACCTAACTGGGAATTTGTGGCTTCACCAAGAACATAAGAGAAAAGACACTTTTTGTTCAAAAAGGATTATCTTCTTTTTAAATTTTTTAAAAATTATTTTGTTTGTGTGTGTACCGTCAAACGAGATCTGACTGGTACAGGAGGAGATTGCCCCTCCTTCTCCAGCAGAGTATCTGGTTGGATTCAAACTGCTCACCTCTGGGATTGCAGTGCAGCGTCTCGCAACCAGGACACCAGAGCACCCTAAGGATTGTCTTCTAAGTGTTTCACTAACAAGGACTTTCACATCATTTTGTCTGTTGCTGTTATGTATTGCTGAAGCCAGAACTGACTCCCTGCTGACCGTCCAGTGGGTTCTCAGAGGCAGTAAACTGCACAGGAGGAGACTGGCCATCTTTCTCCTCTGGAGAATCCAGCTGCTGGATTCACACCGCCCACTTCTGGACTGGCAGCACAACTCCTTACCCACTAAGCCACCAGAGATTCTTGAGGATTTTCTACCTTCAGGAAAAATACTTCTAAGTCCCTCAAACAAACCAAAGACTAAACCAAGACCTCCCCAAGCTCTCTCTTTAGCCTGATGGAAATCAGTGCTTCTAAAAACAGGAGTCACTTTTCTGAGAAAACACCAAATGGCGGATGATGCCGGTGCAGCGGGAGGGCCTGGAGGCCCTGGAGGCCCTGGGATGGGAGCCCGCGGCGGTTTCCATGGAGGCTTTGGTAGCGGTCTGCGGGGTCGGGGCCGTGGGAGGGGCCGCGGAGCTCGAGGAGGCAAAGCCGAGGACAAGGAGTGGCTCCCCATCACCCAACTGGGCCGCCTGGTGAAAGATATGAAGATCAAATCATTGGAGGAGATTTATCTCTTCTCCCTGCCCATCAAGGAGTCTGAGATCATCGACTTCTTCCTGGGCATGTCCCTCAAGGATGAAGTGTTGAAAATCATGCCAGTGCAGAAGCAGACACGTGCTGGCCAGCGGACCAGGTTCAAGGCCTTTGTTGCCATTGGAGACTATAACGGCCATGTTGGCTTGGGCGTCAAGTGCTCCAAAGAGGCGGCTACTGCTATCCGTGGGGCCATCATTCTAGCCAAGCTCTCCATTGTCCCTGTGCAGCGTGGCTACTGGGGGAACAAGATTGGCAAGCCTCACACCGTTCCCTACAAGGTGAGTGGGCGCTGTGGCTGTGTGTTGGTGCGTCTGATTCCTGCACCCCGAGGCACTGGAATTGTCTCGGCCCCTGTGCCTAAGAAGCTGTTGATGATGGCTGGAATTGATGACTGTTACACCTCAGCTGGGGGCTGCACAGCTACCCTGGGCAACTTTGCTTAAGGCCACCTTTGATGCCATCGCCATGACCTACAGCTATCTGACCCAGATCTCTGGAAAGAGACGGTGTTCACAAGTCTCCCTACCAGGAATTCACAGATCATCTTGTAAAGACTCACACCAGAGTCTCCGTGCAGAGGACTCAGGCTCCAGCTGTGGCCACCACATAGTGGATTTTCTATAACAAATAAAGTGAATTATGTTCTTAAAAAAAACAACAGGAGTCAAGCCTTTTCAATAACACGTTCCTTTGATGGTAAACAAAGGCAAAGGGTGCATAAGCCAGCAGCCCTCTCAAGAGCTCAGAACACTGTTGGCTCATGTTTACTTATGAAACATCCTCGTTTTAAAGCTTCCAGCTGCGACGTGGCTTCTTATTGGCTGTTTAACAGTCAGCCAGTCACGGAAACCTTCAGCACCACTTTCCTCAAAGTCCCTGGGCCATGCAGGCCATTAAGACTGCTAACCCAGGGGGTGGAGGTTCGAGTACACCCCGAGAGGCACCACGGAAGAAATGTCTGCTGGTCCCCCTCCAAGGACTCAGCACAGGAAGCTCTCTGGATGGACGGTTCTATTCCAACACACCGGGGAGACCATGAACGACCGCAGGCTGTGTGGCAACTGCTGGGCTCCAGTCTTCCAATTCATCAACTTTGCCATCTGTCAAATGGGACCATCTGCTTCACAGACAGGTAGACAGAACAATCAAAATAACTCAGACGTGAGTCAACGTCACTCACTGCCCGTGGGGTGGAACCAACTCAGAGCTGACTCTCCAGGGGGTTTTCTGAGCCTGTGAGTTGCACGGATGGACATGGTTCATCTTAGTCCCTGCAGTTGCAAGTAGACTCAAAGTTCTGGAGACGGGCCATGTTGGAGTGAGGAACACCACTCTCTATGGGTGAGACCACCAGAGTCCTTTGGACACGTGAGAAGCCAAGGCTTATACCAGCACACAGTACACAGTAATTACTTTTGAGATTTGTAAACATGTTGTTGTTGTTGTTGTTATGTGCCATCAAGTCACTTGCGACTCCTAGCGACCCTATGTACAAAGGGCCCTAAACACTGTTCTATCCTGTGCCAACCTCGCCGTCTCAAACACACTCACTGCCACCACTCCACTCACAGAATCGATCCATCCCATCGAGGGTCTTCCTCTCCTGTGCCATCCCTCTCCATGATGTCCCTCTCCAAGGACCAGTCCCTCCTTGCAACATGCCCAAAGTATGTCAGACGAAGCTTCATGTAATGCTGTTGTTTTTGTTATGTGCTGTCGAGTGACCCTACGAACAAGGACTCTGGACCTTGCTCTATCTCGAGCCAGCCCCACTGTCTCTGACATGCCTGTCGCTATTGGCATCATCACTGTGTCCATCCGTCTCATCCAGGGTCTTCCTCTCCTGAGCTGTCCCTCCACCCTTCTGAACATCATGCCCTTCTCCAAGGTCTAGTCCCTCCTGGCCACATGCCCCAAGTATGTGAGCTGTGACAAAACTACGCAAGAAGAATGAATCCTCTTTCCCAGGTGTTTAAAACATTTTGGGAGAGCTGGGTTTTAACGGAAACCTTCTTGAATGACACTATTAAACATGAAGGCAGCCCTAGTGTCTTCGTGGGTAAAGAGTTGTGCTGCCAACACAAAAGCAGGCAGTTCGAATCCACCAGCTGCTCTGAGGGAGAAAGATGGGCAGTCTCCTCCTGTGTGATTTACTGCTTCTGAAAACCCGCTGGCGGGTCAGCTATAGGTCGGTTCCAACTTGATGGTATTCAACAACAACAACATTAAACAAACAAATTAAAATGTCACGGCTCAAAAAACACACAAACAAAAACAACAAGAAAATGTCATGGCCTAATTGACTTGAAGTTAATGAAGAGACACTTATTATTAAATGTCCAACAGGGACGTTTGCCTAGAGAAGGACTAATGCTACATTTACAAAGCATCTAAGACAAAATCTGAGGTAAGATATTTTGTGAAACCTTTTCCTGTTAACTCCTTACAGAGGATTAGAAAGCTGAACATTTAAATTCATGAGGTTGAAAAAAAGAATTGGGGAGTTCTGGTGGCCTAGTGGCAAGGAGCTGCAACTACAATCCCAGAGGCACACGGTTCGAATCCACCAGATGCTCTGCCGGGAAAAGGAGGGACAATCTCCTCCTGTACCAGTCAGATCTGATTTGAAGGTACACTCACACAAAAATAAAAAAATTTTAAAAAAAAGAAAAAACGAATAAAAAAAAATGATGCTCT